AAAAGTCGGGATCTGTTTTAGTGGGATATGCAGATGCAGGTATTTATCTGACCCACATAAAACTAAATCATAAACAGGATATGTGTTTACATGTGGAGGAATAGCTATATCATGAAAATCTGTTAAGCAATCCTTGACAACATCTTCAAATCATTCTGAAATTATTGCAATCCATGAAGCAGGTCGATAATGTGTATAGTTGAGAAACATGACATATCATATCCAAGCATCATGCAGGTTAACTTCAATAAAAAATAGTTCAACAATTTTATATGAAAACAATGCATCTTGTATTGCACAACTCAGATGAGATTATATCAAAGGTAATAAGACGAAACATATTTCTCCAAAGTTCTTTCATATAAATGAGTTATAAAAGAATGGTGACAACGATATTCAACAAATTCACTTAAGTGACAATGTGACCGATTTATTCGCAAAAATATTGCCAACATCTACATTAAAAAATTTGGTTCAAAGGATTAGAATGCGCTGACTCAAAGATTTTCAGTGATTTTCATCAGAGGTGTGACTGTGCTCTTTTTCCTTAGTGTAGGTTTCGTCCCACTGAATTTTCCTAGCAAGATTTTAATTAGGCAGCATTTTCTTTATACTCCAAAATATTAACAATCGACTATATTCTTTTTTCCTTTATTTTATTTTTCTTCCACTGGGGCTTTTATCAAACAAGATTTTTAACGAGGCAATTATTGTACTATTAATCATCGAAGGGAGAGTGTTTTAAAATAATGAGATAATTATTTAGTGTTATCATGATACATAGATAAGTCTTGTTTAGTTTAAAAGAACTATTTTATTCCAATTGTAACTCTTATTTTGGATCCTATAAATATAGGGCATTGGTTTATAATAATAGACAATTGAATTTTGACTCTTTATTTTCTTCTCTTATTTCTCTTTTCCCTTTAATTTTATAACAAATTTGAAATTAACTATAAATGAGGTAAGCAGAGAGGTGGGGACAATAAACATTAGAGAGAAATAAAGAAAAAGGTCGAATAACTTTGACACATATGCATTTGATTATTGGAATATTTTTAACTCTTATTTGGTAGGAATTAAAATTAGATTTTCAATAAATTTTGATAAAAATTAATAAAATAAATGATTGAATAGTTGTAGACTCATAAAATATATGGTTGAAATCAATGTTGACTTTAACTTAAATTAAAATCTAGATTTTAGTTTTCACGAAACATAAGCTTAGTATACAAGGCCCTGTTTGTGCAAAATAAATTGTTTGCTATAGTAACATTCTCCATCACACATTCACACAATAAAATATTCTACATACAAACCAATAATTTTTTTTTTAAATTTCATTCACATACACTTCAAAAACAACTATTCAGAACTCTATATTTTCTTCTAAAATGGGAGACAAACAAGCTCTAAATAATTTAACTACATAAAGTTATCTTTTGAGCAAAAGTTATTCTTTATCCAATTTTCATAATTTGTTTTCTATTTGTTTTCTAAATTTTAATTCTTTAGAACATGAAAACATCTTTTTAATTACTTTTTACAATATGAAAATTCATTTTTGAACGATTTTTTTTTTCATTTTTCCACATTGTTCACATTATTTCCTATTTTTTATTTTTCTTTTATTCACAGTTTTTTTGTCATATAAATGAATTTCTTATTTTCTTTAGGGTTTTATGCATTTTTTTTAAGAAACCTACCGAATATTCGGCCGGTAAATCTTTTGTATTAATTAATCATTTTCTTTTAAAAAGTGGTAAATGTTTATCAATTATTTATTTTTCTTGCAAAATGACTGACGAAATATTTCAGACGGGTAATTACTTATTAATATTATAAATATTTAAAGTTTAATGACCGATCCTTTACATTTGAATTTTTTATTATTGTTAATTTTTGCATTTGCTTTATCATTTCTTGGATGGTTTTACCTACATATTATCAACATAATGGTACCAACAGAACTATTCGGTCAGGTAAATACATTGGTAATATATAATCTCCTTTTTTGATCAGTTGATAGTGTGTGGCTATTAGCAATGGAAATTTGTAAATTCTTGTCGCTGTCGTTGCACATTTAGTAGTGGATCCAACCTAATTTCAAGGAACTCTAAGAAGAAAAATGTTGTAGCACTTTCCATTACTGAATACTTAGCTGAATCAAGTAAGAAGTTGGCATTCGTTTCTCTCGCTATCAATCCTTGCTTTCACCCTTGCATCAAGATGGATGTCCACTTTATTAGTGATTAAGTCACGCACTAAGAGCCACAAATTTTAGAGTGTAATACTGTAAATATAAATATCCACTAAATTTATCCTAAAATCTTTTTCTTTTTATCTTCCGTTTTAGGTATGCTTTGTCTGAGAAATGAGAAATCCATTCATTTAAACGATATAGTAAATTAAACCCTCAGGGCCCATTTGGTTTGTATTTTAATTTTCAATTTTGAGTTCATTTTCAATTTTTCATTTTGCGAATCTGTTTTAAGATTGCTAAAAGCACGTTTGGTTTGTCATCTTAAAAAATTATTTTTCGAAACAAAAAAACTAAAAAGTGCGCTTGGTTTGATATTTTTGAAAAATTGTTTTATGGTGTTTTATTCCATTAAATTTGATTATTCAGTAAAAATATAACAAATTATGGAAGTAATATATACATTTCAAATATTATGAATCTTAAAATATTTTTTTCTTGCTTCAAAAGTAAAATAAAAAAATAATAAATTGAGTTCAAATTACATCAAATAAAAATAAAAAGATTGACGTGAACTGAAAATATTTTTTTTTACAATTTTTATGTAAATAATAATTAAGATTTTAACTTTTTTTTTTTATAAAATTTTTATTTTTTATTTTTAGAATTTTTATATTTTGTATTTTAGAATTTATTTTTTTTGAATTTTGTTTCAACATTTTTTTAATTTTTTTTAATAATTTATCAATTTTATATTGTGATTTTTTTGAATTTTATAATTTTATTCGTTAGATTTTAGATTATTTTATTTTTAAAATTTTTAATTTTATAATATAATTTAAATGAAATTTTATTTAAACGCTTGTTTTCTATATTTTGAGTGTTTTCAGAATTTTCAATAAAACACTCAAAATGACAAAAAAAAAATGTGTTTTGAATTTTATATTATAAATTATCCTTATTTTCAAAAATAAATTTTCAGATATAATAGACCAAACACGTTTTCAATATTTTGTGAAATTGAAAATTAAAAACAGTAAACCAAATGCTCACTTGTTTTTTGTTTGCAAACTACATTTTCACCAAATAAATCAAGCATGTTTGAAAAATTTAGATTTTTTTTCGTTAGTCAAACATATTTTTTATCCACACATTTTTTTACCATCAACAATTTGTTATTCACTTATTATTCACATAATTTGTATGATCCAAAACTTATAAGTACTTAAAAAAAACACCAAAAAACAAGCAAGATATATCAGAGAAATAATTGAAAAATAAATAAATCAGAAAGACATTTTGAATGTTCGTAAAGGCTGGGAACGCATGCTTATAATTACGGAGTTAGACTAAAGTTGAGATAATTTTGGGATATCTTTTATCAAATTCTTCTTAAAATTTTCTGTATTTTTCGATGGATTCTTTCCGTGAAAAAGTAATTCTAAAGAGGTAGAATTTTACTGTTCCAAAGTTTGCAATATGGAGATAGTTAAAAGACAGGGTATCGATGTACTATAGACTCAAATTTTTCCCCAGCAAGGAAAGTGATTCGTCCCCTAAAATGACCAAGTTCCATGTACAGCAGAATCATAATTATGCTTAAAGCCTTGTGATTCTTATCCTTATGTCACCTGTTGGTACAATTCATAAAAGTAAAATGAAACATGACCACTTATTCTATGTAGAAACGAAAGCACTTAGGGTCTTTTTATTACAGATCTTTCGAGATTAGATTTTGCGAAAGTGATGTTTTTGAAAAATATATAGTTAAAAAGTAGGTAAAAATAATTTTATGATTTTATAAAAATAAATAAATTTAAAGAAATATGTTCGCATACATGGTACATATGTTATATCATTCTCCTTTTGTTCATAATTATCTGATATTTGAAAGCAACTTGAGAACCACCATTTCATGTGGTCCTGCTGATATATAGGACTGCTAGGGCTTAGAAAAATGGAATTGGGGAGTGGGAGTGGGTTTTGCTGCAATTGCGGCATGTATTTATGGAAAGCAAAGAAATGAATGGTGCACTGCAAAAAGGGACCTTTCATTGTCTGAAGGACTGTTGGCATTTTCTTGCAAGATACAAATAGTTCTTTGAACAATATTGGCTACTCTCTAGGGTTTTTACAAGTACAATCACAGAGCCCATCTTTCTTGACTATTCCATCCTCATCTACAGTGTGTGTACGAGAGAGGTAGAAGAGAGAGAGATAGAGGGAGGGAGCTTTAGAAATGTTGAAATGTAATTCATACAATATCTTCTTACAATATTGTTGATAAAAAAAGCTTGAGATCCCAGGATTTAGTCCAGGGGCCTAGGTGCTGCAAAAGGGCGTGGGCCCCGCATGTGTGAAGATCCAGGGTCAAAGTGCTGCCATCTCGACCCTAAAAAGGAAGCATCGCTCGTTGATAATGTTTGTAGGTGGGAAAAAATGTTGGGTGGGAAAAGATGTTGAGTGGAAAGAGAAATTATTTTCTAAACATCTAATAACAACATGTAATGCGGCATTTTGTTAACAATATTGTCAAAAATATTGTACACTGAACATGATTCGAAGCTTTTTGTGTTCAAAAGAAAAGATGGGGGAGATAGGGATATTCATGTTGAGACATAAGTGTAGAGAGAGGAGAGAGAGAGAGACTTTAGAGGGATAGATCAGTTTTTCTTTTTAGTGAAAGTGACATGGAGTCCCCCCAGTCAAAAAGGCAAGATGCAGGCCTCTAAGCTACACCGCGTTATCCTCTCAGAACTGAAATAATTGTCCTTTGTATAGCTTGGACTTGTCCACGTGGAAATTCCAAGGGTTTGGCCAATGTGAACAGCAAAGAAGCAATTTTCTCTGTATCAATCCATCCCACTTGTTCATAATTGAAATTTTAGAGAGTGATTACCAGTTTGATAATTGTTGGGTTGTGTTCGGATAACCCTGTCATTGTTAGGAGTCGGGCATCACGTGAAGTTGAACAATGACAAGTGCTTAAATCCAGCTGCGCCCACTTACTTCCCCACAATTCATTGCTGCTGCTTCAACTCTTTCGCTTTCATGCTCCAAACACTCCAACGAAGCATGCATCTATAATTTCTTAAGCTAGTGGAAGAAGACATATAATTTCTTTGCTTTTTCTGTATTTTAATTTCCTTTTCAGTAATTTCGTTTTCCCTCCTGATATTATTTGTGTTGCCAATAATTCATCTTATGAATAATTGATTTAACCTCCATATATGTCTTCTTCCATGTATGCCCGTCTTTCTCAAAGAGCCATTTCTTGCTTATGCAAGGTGCAATTACTCTCTCTCTTTCTCTCTCACTCACACACACACACAGAAACATAAAGATATGCAAATATGTGAAAAGAGAAGTATCAAGATTAGGTTAATTATAATTAGTCTCTCTCAAGCCTGTATTGTTTGCTGCAGAGGGTCAAAAGGATAAGCACATACAAATAATCTCTTGGTGCACCTGTCTTCCTCAAGCCCTAGTCACTCTCTCTAGCATAGCTTCAAGGACAAAGGCAATTTTTTGAGATGTATCCCTCTAACAACAATTGCAATTTCAACTCTATATCTTGTATCGACCATGAGATTTCCCCAACTTATTTTTTCGATAATGACATAAATTCCATTACAAAAGAGGACCATTCGTTCTCTTCGTTTTTCGGTTTTCCTAATTCTCCAAGTATGCAATACGAATACCATCAATTTGATGACCTTTTCCATGAGCACAACTCCTTGACAACAGATGAAAATGCTGTTCCTGCCGAGATTAATGCAACTAACATGAGTAAAGCTGCTGCTACAGACTCACTGAAAGAAGACTGCTACAGCAAAACTGAGCAGCAGATCCCTAGAAAGAGATCTTCCAAGAAAGATCGACACAGCAAAATAAACACTGCTCATGGCCCAAGAGACCGAAGAATGAGACTGTCCCTTGATGTCGCCTACAAGTTTTTCGGCTTGCAAGACATGTTAGGATTCGACAAGGCGAGTAAAACCGTGGATTGGCTGTTCAAGAACTCAAGGTCTGCCATTAGAGAGCTGATGCAAGGGTCTTGTATGTACAAGCAAACCTGCAGTTTATCCTCTACTTCTGAATGCGAAGTCGTTTCAGGAATCGATGATCAGTCGGCTGCTTATGAAAACAAGTCCACAATCATCAGCAAAAAAAGTGACCTGGACAAACCCTCTTGTACAAAGGAGAGGAAGAAGAGTAAAGTTGCGCGTGCAACTGTTGCAAAGGAATCAAGAAAGCAAGCAAGAGAGAGGGCAAGAGCAAGAACAAGTGAAAAGAATAGCCTTCGTGAAAGTGAACCAAAAACAGCGAATAATCACAGCTCGATCCGGTTAAGGACTCATCAATTGGAAACCGGTGAAGAATCAGTGATCCGAAGTTCAAACATGAACCCATCGTATAAAATGCTGGCTGAGGTTGAAGAATTGAGCTCTCATAGAGCGCAGATTTTAGGGGCTAGATACGAAGACAATTGGAACGCATCTACCATCTTAAATTATCAGCACGACGCTGCAAATCCCAGCCATGAAGTAAGTTAATTTCCACAGCGTATAGACGTAAAATTGTAGTGATTTTATGATTTAGAGGTGATGAATTTAATTTTTTTCATTTTTTTATTTTGCAGCCTCAACACACAGACTTTCTATTCTGTACCAAACCATGGGATGCCTACGGCTGTTATAATCTATCTGGATAAGATCTTCATATTCCATCATCTGGTAAACATAGATGGAGGGCCTTTTCTTATTCTTGTTAATCAAATGTGAATTGCGAAATAAATATTGTATTTTCTTGTGTGAAAATTCTGCTGTGAATTTATTCCTTCTAAGACGGGATTAGTTAAGAATTGGAATTGACGGAAAAACCTTGGGAATCTAAACTCGATGTGTTACGATTCTATCTTAAAACGTCAATCTTGTAGCTACACCGTTATTCTTACCTCATCTTTATTCAATGTGAATTTTGTTTCAACGTGTTCCACAAAATAGTAACGAGAAAAAGCCCATCTTAAAATTCGATTGCTCGTTTGAATGTTTAATGGATATATTTGGTCGTTTAAATTTAGTAGTCTAACACTCGTCATAGAGGTTTAATATGTTATAATAGTACATGCACTAGCATATCATTGGAACAATATTTAGTATTTCCTTCAAACAATTGACCATTCTTTGCCTACAAGTTTTTATTTATTTATTTTGGTTACAAATAACAATCTCGTCATTCCCTAGAGTCTCCACCGGCACTAGAATTTCCAACTCAGTCAGCCAACAAAATACAGGTTTGACTAGGATCTAGGCACAAAAATATGAAGTATGCGACTTGAATAACAAGGTAAAGTTTCTCTTTCTTTCCAAATTATGGCTAAAGCCAAACATCACTATATCGTCTTGCATAAATTTGGAGCATTTTGTTTCTGTGTAGCAATCAAAAATTCTCTTCTTGTACCTATTACCCACTGTCTAGTTCCGATTACAGCTAAGAAATCAAATCCGATTGGGTTCCTTTTGCGGGCATTGGCCACTTTTGATGCAGCAAAGGTTACTTTACCTTTATCTCTTGGCAGTGATTATGGATAAATATATGCCATATATAGCTCACTCTCAGCATTGGCTAATCTTACCATAGCCATCAGAATGCCACCCATAACACTAACTTGCTTAACTTTGCACCACCATCACAAGCACACTTTCACCAAGCCATTGACGTGACACAGGGCAAATGCCACAGCCATTGCTCCATATGCCGTTTATTTTTATTTAATTAAATTTTCGTCGAGACCTGGAGCTCGAGCTTGTTCACATTGTACTAAAATTGATCTTGTGTATGTTAGCTTCTTAGTTTTGGAGTCCCTAGGTACTCTTTTAGTTCTCAACCTATCAGTATGCTCAACTTTTCGTTTGTTACATTGTAGTCTCGAAACAAGTAGTTCATTCTCTCATATAACTTTATCGGAAATTAGAGATTACATAATAAAATATAAGGATGAAGAACATAAATTTAGTCATTCTGGGTAGTCATTTTGTACATGACCCTAATAAATGACATGGACTGTAGTCCTCGAGCATCCTTCCATCAAGAGCTCGTCTCATCATCTTGCCACATCTTCGCTATGTGGACCAATGCTCTGACTCTCCATCTCGGACATGCTTTGTCAATGAGGCTTGATGTTTCGTTACTAATCGGATATTAGTAATGAAACTAAGAACATGTCCAATTCAGATCCTAAACATGTTGTGCTTAGCAAAGGCATTGGCCGATAATTGAATGAAACAAACAACTAATTTAGACTGAAAAGAAAGACATAAAGCAGAAACACAATTATATCAGCAATTTGAAACTAGGAACATGTAATATGTACACTACAACTTTGTAATTTGTCAAAACCCATATGTTTGCCATACCAGTTGATAATCTGACAAATACAAGTTTTCTCTCCTTTCAATATTATATTTCTTATTTTTCTTAGAACCGTATAAAAAACCCTAGCTTTATTATATTTCCAAAAACAAAAACAAAAAGTTTATAGTAGAGAAATATGAGCCGCAAAGTACAGTAAGGGAGATTTTCATTTGAGTTTGGAATATGACGAATACAAAAATCGAGATTTTGATAATAGTAGCTAATCAAGGAAGAAAAAATTTGTTAACCCGCGATCATCAAAAGCCTAAAAATTGACAAGAAATTGAGAAAATTCGAGTTATTTTTTTTATTCAAACTAAACAAAGCAAAGCCAAAACCATTCATGCCTTGTAGTGTACACATATCGTCAAGAAAAATTAATTGTGTTTTAAATTGATAAATTATCGAGCATCATGTGGCATTGTGTATTTTTTTTTTTATAAATCTTGATGTAAATGTAAAAAGATTCAAAAAAAAAAAAAAAAAATCCATAGAATAATGTGTCCTGTGTTCGTTTTCAGATATTTTACAGAATTCCAGATCTTCCTAATATTATAGAATAAAATCCTGCGGCAGTGACGCAACTGGCGTGGCGTCAAATGTTTTAATTCTACACGCATCCTTGTAAAATTAATGACAATATATAGGGCAGTTACGTACAATACTCGGTAGGTCCAATTTTGATAGATCCAAAAATTCAGGAGGGGCGGTGATTGAGGGAGGCAACCGATCAAGGAACGAGAATTGACAGAGAAAATGTAATGATTATGGCGAATAAAAAAAAAAAAAAGGTTAAACTTTAACCTTAAGGGTCCCCCATCATCCCTGTCTCGAAGTATCGTGAGAGAGGTAAATTACAGGTTATGCCTCCAAGGGTACAGGGTGAAAGGGTGCTTGTACACTTGCACTTACCCAAGAGCCAAATTCATATTTCAGGATTCAAACCCTTGACGCAGCAGCCTCAAACAAAGCTGAATTTTTCCACCCTCCCCTTTTACCACTTGGAGATGTGTCCTGGGGGCGATTATGGCGAATATATACTATGTTAATGGGTATATTTGTTAAAAATTGGAGTTCTAGTAAATTTTGATAAAAATTAATAAAATATGTGATTGAAAATTTGATAAAAATTGTTATTTTTATTAATATATAGTTGAAAATGAATTTAAAAGAAATTGAAAACCAAACATGAACTAAATATCATTACTCAGTTTACGTATACATCGATTATTGATAGATAAATTTATAATAGAATTTAAAAATTAAATTAGATTTTTGTTTAGTAGATCTTCACATGATGATGCAATATTGACTTATAAAATTATTTTCTAATTTACTCCCATGATTTTGTACATAATAGCAACATTTGGGAAACCTACATAATTTGTGAACTATATACCAACCTACCGATTAATCAGTGAAATAATTTTGCATCTCTCATTTTCTTGACTTCGAGATTTCTTTTTCTGAAACTACTTTTGGAAGAAAAGCCACATTTAACAAACTTCCTCTAAAAACTCTTTTTAATTATTAAAAACACTTTAATAAAATTAGTCAAACTGGTCCAAAAACAACTTTTGGATCCCAAAAACTCCTTTTAAATTTTCAAAGCTATGATAAACGGGCCCTTAGTATCATAGCAAAAGAAACCAAAACTAGCATTATTTATACCATCCTTCCACCTATTCATGAGTTTAATCTTCATCAATCTTGACTCATCTAACTTTCTGCTATTGTGTTGATTTCTACACACTTTTCTTGTAACTAATATTATGTGATTGTTAGTGCTTTCGAGTTGATTCTACATCGATTTGTGTGTTCTGTTGATCTCGCGAATTGGACCCTCCACGTGGTCAAGCGATAGCTACTCTACGTAATCCACCATGCGCACAGTCAACGCACGGTCAGATGCATACGGCCGTAACCAGCGGGGGTGGCGGCGGCCGCATACACTCCGACGGTCAAGTTAGCTTCTGATGATCGGAACAGTGCCAAAGTTGTGTAAAAAGGGTGGGGAGGAGAATATATATTTACTTGTTCTGGAGAGCTAAGTTGTAAGAGTTTCATTACTTTTGCCTCTTGCCAAACCTTGGGTATTTATAGTTGAAGAGAACCGTTAGGTATGGGACACGTGTATGTATTTGACGGTGTGAGGCGTCTGCTCATAGGCGTTTATTAGCCGCGTCTATAGAGTAAGTGGGTAATAACTTCTTTCGAGTTGAGTTGACATAAAGTCGATACGTCACATCAACTAGACCCATGGAGACGTCAAATTAATTAAACTTTGGGGGCAGAAAGGATCTTAACACAGATCTCTTTCTGAAATTGGCAGGGGATCCTCTGACAGAGATTATCGGAGTACATTGCGCTTTGACGTCAAAGGCAAGAACGCTTCGGTTGGTACATAGAATTGTTTGTGCCTCGCAGCGCGTTAGCAACTTGCAAAATTAGTAGTGGAGTCACTTTGGAACCATTTCGGATGGGTGTTGGACACCTTGTATGACGCAATGGCAGACTTGTTCGAAGTGGCTCCGATAGGGGCGTAATAATGGTCCCCCCAAGTTCAGGCATGAATATCTATATCATGAGTGAACTTGTTTTCCCGATCGAGTATGCCTGCCTCGGGATAGGAAGCGCGATTTGTGAGAGCTTGTAGGTTGGTTTTCTGTGTTCACCGAAGAGATGAAGGTCGGGACATATCTTCGACAGACGCGCTAAAGCTTCATTACTGCCTAAGGAAGGAGTTTATCCGTAACCGATGTGCTGGCCAACATGACGATGCATTGGGAGACGGCTAAAGTTTTGTAAAGCTTAGGAGGGACGCAACTACCGAGGTGATGACCCACAGGGGACTCCGCGTCAGGTACGTCTAAGCTTTGTAAAGCTAAGTGAGGAGCTCATCTGTCACCTATGCGTTAACCCACAGGGGACGACGCGTTGGGAGATGACTAAAGCTTTGTAAAGATGAGGAGAGAACACATCTACCGAGGCGATGACCCACAGGGGACTCCGCATCAGGTGCGTCTAAACTTTGTAAAGCTGAGTGAGGAGCTCATCTACCACCGGTGCGCTGATCCATGGAGGACGACGCGTTGGGAGATGGCTAAAATTTTGTAAAGTTTAGGGGGGAACGCGAGTACAGAGGCGATGACCCACAGGGGACTCCACGTCAGGTGCGTCTAAGCTTTGTAAAGCTGAGTGAGGAGGTCATCTGCCACCGGTGCGCTAACCCACAAGGGACGACACGTTGGGAGATGGCTAAAGTTTTGTAAAGCTTAGGGAGGAACGCGACTACCGAGGCGATGACCCACAGGGGACTCCACGTCAGGTGTGTCTAAACTTTGTAAAGCTGAGTGAGGAGGTCACCTGCCATCGGTGCGCTGACCCACAAGAGACGATGCGTTGGGAGATGGCTAAAGCTTTATAAAGCTTAGGGGAGAATGCAGCTACCGAGGCGATGACCCACAGGGGACTTCATGTCAGGTGTATCTAAACTTTGTAAAGTTGAGTGAGGAGCTCATCTGCCACCGGTGCACTGACCCACAAGGGACAACGCATTGGGAGATGGCTAA